CTCTCTCTCAAAAATAAACTACAAAAAAATGATCGTACATTTGCAGCATGCACCCATTATACATCTGTTGCTTACAATAACTTCTCACTTCAGACAATGAAGATGCTGAAAATGTAAGATGTGTGGCCACCATGTGTGGTTATGACTGCTTTGCTGAATATTTAAAAACTAAAGAATCTCAGAGCCAGGACACATAACCAAGCTTCCTGGGTCTACACTTGAAACTTCTCTAGAGCAACCATATCAAGTCATCAAGCCTATGCTTGAAGTTCTCCAGTCTCAAGGAAGCCACCACTATGGAAGGCATTCAATGTATATATCTCTGTTCATGTATGAATGTTAAAAACTGGACTTCTTGTTGCCTCTATCCACTGATATTTGTTCACACTCTTGCTAATCACAGAACTCCCAATCCCCTCTGCCACACTTTCAACTTTCAACTCTTCCGTTTGTAGAAGAGAGCATTATGTTTCCACTGAATCATCTCATCTCTGGATTATCTCTTAATTTTTTGACTAGTACCACTAGTTTTGAATCCTTTCATTGTTATAGTTGTCTTCTTCTTCAACAGTTTAAGTATTTCCAATATAATAATAACAATACTCTACCTTGATTTTAACATTTATTTTGTGCCGTACATTGTGCTGTCTTTTATATGCATTAGCACATTTAATCTTTTAAGGTTAATTTTTGAGACATACACACACACACACACACACACACACACACACACACAAAGGATCTGACGCAGCCTCCACGCTAACAGCAGAGAGCCCGATATGAGGCTTAAACCCAGAAATCACGAGATCGTGACCTGGATCTGAAGTTGGATACTTAACCCATGAGCCACCCAGGCATCCCAGCACATTTAGTCTTGATAAATCTGTGGAGTACAATTTACACTCCATTTCTCAAATGAGGTAGCTGAGTAAAAGAACTAAATATAATTCTTCAGTAACAGTCTGACCAGCAGTGAATTGGGACTCATGGTCACCTTGTTTTAAGCTCTATGTGTTCTTTAAAGTAGCCTGGTTTCAATATTTACTTCCCTACTTACTATGGTATGTCATGATGTTGATTTATATTGAACTTAATGAAGACTAAAACCTCATTAAGCACTATCCCTATCTTGTGTACTCAGTTGTTTGGGAGCAGAAACTATAAAACCTGATATTTATCCTTCTTGTATTTTACCTTGTTAGATTCATTTCATCTCTCTTCCTGTCACAATGTTTTCTAAATGCTGTTTCTGTCATCCACCATAGTTTGTCCTCCTTCATAGCCTAGTGACATCTGCAAACTTGATGGATCTGCCCTCAGGGTCTTCATCTCCTTCATCGATAACAATGTTGAATAGGACAGCGCTCACTGAGACAAGTTTACTGTCAGCTGAAGTGGGAATCTTTAAATGCTTTACATTTTCTTATGGAGAATGGAAAGGAGACCTGCTGGCTGTGTATATAACGACATAACAGGTTGAAAAATGCTTTTCCTCAAAGCATGTGCATTTTAGCTACTATTGCATAAAATGACAAGAAATCATAATTTTCTAACTATCAAGGGATGACAGATTATACAAACACACACTCAAGTTAAGCAAATGCATTGAGTCAGAGATTATAATTAGTCTGGACAAAGGACTCTCCAGATTCTAGGACTCTTCCAACAATAGGCCCTTATTTTAACTCAGTTATGTATTTTGCTCGTGTAACCATTGCCCAGAATAACTCCCTAGTGATTTATTTTAACAGAAGCTAAAAAAAAGTAACGGTAGCTACCATATAAAATCATATGGTCAGGTCAGCTACTGAGGTCACAGTATTACTCTCCCCAAGTATAGAATGATTGGGCCTCCATAACCTAAAAGCTCTATCCACAAACCACAGTAAACAGGGACACACTGCTTTAGAAGAGGCTATTGTACCACAGGCAATAAGGCTCAATCAGAATGTTAGGTTTCTCTCTGCATGTGGGGATTAAAAGAATGAACAAGAATAAGTGGATAGCCTCCAGGGTTAGTGCAAAATAAAGCAATTTCCTATCTCATCAATTATGTGAAAATGCCAAATAGGCCCCTCTTAGGTTCTGACATATTTTAGAACAATGGCTATGTTCATTCTGCCTTTTGAATTACAGGGTAACTGTCAAGAAAATCATTTTTAATAATGAAAATGTCACAGGTGGCTCCATTAATTCAGTGAGAATGCCATTACAAAACCTCAGCTAACAGAACACAGCCACACTAGCATCTAAACTTGGCAAGACAATTGAGCTCAAAGTTGGTGAGTAATCTTTCTCATGCTAGATCTCTGGGGTCATTCCCAGAGCCTGACCTCAGTCCTAGCTGGATTGGTCAGAACAAGCCCCATCTAAATGCCAAAGATGTATTTTTTCACCCTTCTGCTGTAGAAGCTAAATGCTTTTATGTAATTTTATAATGGATATCAGCTCTAAACAATGACTACTATATTATTTAAATTGCTCCTGAATTTTAAGAAGCAGGGACATACACTTTCCCATCAAATAAAAAAGGGATTTATTCTTACGCCATGGAAAGTTACAGGTTTTATACTATAAATTACACATTACTGAATAGTTAACACATTATTTACTCCAGATTGCATAATATCACTTTTCTGCCACAGGTTTTGAAACTTTTAAATCAAGAAGGTGGAGGTCTTGGGGTGCCTGGGTGGCTCAGTTTGTTATGTGTCTGACTTGATTTCAGCTCAGGTCATGATCTCACAGTTCATGAGACCAAACCGAACATCAGGCTCTGTGCTGACAGTGTGGAGCCTGCTTGGGATTCTGTCTCTCTCTCTCTCGCTGCCCCTCCCCAACTCATGCACGTATGCACACTCTCTCTTAAGTAAAAACTTAGGTAAGATTATTTATGTAAATTCAATTATAATATAACCTGGGTTTGGCAAACTGACACCTACAGTCTAAATTCAGCCAGTCACCTGTTTCTGGAAATAAAGTTTTATTAAAACACACCTTCCCTTGTTCATTTACATATTTCCTTTGGCTGTTTTCACACTCTAATGGCAGAGTTCAGTACATGAGACAGAGACCTGACAGTTATGCAAAGACCATCTGGCCCTTCATAGAAAACATTTTTTGATCTTTGATATAAAGAGTAAAATTAGGAGTGGTACTCTAGACCCATCTATTCTACCTTCTCACATACAGATTTTTGTGTTGTGATATCCAGTCTTTACAAAATATTAATTTGGCTTCAGGTTACACCACACAACCAGCCCTCTCTAATTAGCACTTCTCTAATAAAACTCTTAACAGTCATTGATTCCAAATGTCTCATTTTAATGAAGAGGAAATCAGGTCCAGAGAGGGGAAAGCACTTCTCTCACAGAGCAAATTAATGACAAAACAGGAACCAGACCTCACTCCAGACATTCATAGCAATGATTTTTCCAATATGCTAAAGGGTAGGATAAAAGGACTTCACACAACTCAAATCAAAAGGATTCTTGAGGCAATGGTTCTCAAATGTGGTCCTCTGACAAGCAGCATTAGAATCTCCTGGAAACTACTTAGAAATGCAAATTGTTGTGCCCAAACCCAGACTCACCAAACAAGAAAGCCTATGGGGTAGACTCAGTGATCAAAGTTTCACAAACCCTCCAGGGGATTCTGGTCCAAGGAAGAGTTTGACACCTCTGATGGAGAAACAAAGCAATGAAAAGGCAGGATTCGGAACTACATGCAGTAGAAGTATGAAGTGAGGAGAACAGAAAAGAAGACCCTGTTCC